GAGTAAGCATGATTCACAGAGGGTAAATGTGAGAGCATCAATATGTTACTCTTTCCAGTAGCATAGACATCATTCAAACCCATAAGAAATTGGATCAATCTCTCATTTTGAATAGACTTAGCCATTTTTCCTTTTCCACCACATTAGCAGTCACATAAGCAATTGACAGAACTGTTCAAAGAATCAAGCTCGTCCCAGAGACTTTTGATTTTTGTGAAATATCCAACAATGTCATTTGAACCCTACACCAAGTCACTCAACTCCTTTTGCAGGTGATAGAGTTGTGCTTCATTGGACTGGCCAAATCTGTCCTCAAGCTCTTTCCATATATTCTTGACTGTCTTGGAGTAGATAGCATTGTCAGCTATTTCTTTTGAAAGAGAGTTAAGCAGCCATGACAGAACCATATCATTACATATGTTCCATAGCTTGAAATCTGGTGATATCAAAATTGGTTCTTTGTGAGTATCATCAATGAACCCAACCTTATTCTTAGTTGAAAGATCTATCAAGATTGATCTCCTCCATCCACCATAACCTTTCCCATTAAAGGGTGAGTTAACAAGACTCATTCCTGGAGAACCTGAAGCAAGAAGATAAAAATGATGTGTGTGATCAATTCCAGAGTTGGTGGTATTTCTAGTGCTTGTAGAGCTACCGAAGTGGGATATGTTGTTGTCACCATTATTGAACTGAGAAATGGAGAGTAGGGATAAAGAAAAGGGAAGACGAGGCAACAAAGAGATCTGATTCTCAATGTTGCTCTGATACCATGTGGAAAATCAGAGACTAAGAATGGGAAAATTTTTCTTTCTTTCTATTAATTCAGCCGTGATGTATATATACAAAATACCTAAAGAGAAGAAAACAAAAGTATTCCTATACGTATATGGAATCTGATTGGCTATCACTACAATCTAATTTTGGACAACTATGTATGTACTATTTTATACAGAATTTGAATTAAATCTGTCAAGGTAAAATTGAATTATTTGTTGCCTCATTTCTGCTTCCACTTGGCCCTTTCCTGTTTGTCCAAATCAGCCTCCAAATTAATTCTTCTAAAAGAGCTTGGATGGTCAAGATTAAAACTTATATTGCTTTATCCAAAGGTTGTGAAACTTCCATATCTTCTATCTGAGAATTGAACAACTGATTGTGTTTATCTCTGATTTTCATTTGATTGTGAGGCTCTATTGCAACAAGAGCTTGATTAGTTATCTCTTCTTCCATGGTTGTTTGTTGATCTGTATCAACTTTGTCAATTTCAATTCCAACAAAACAACCAACTGATAGCTTTATCAAGACCTTAGAACATCAATAACATTCATAATTATTAGTCAAGTTGGGAATGAAGAACATTTTCCATTCTCAACTTGAGGAAGTGTGTAGATATGTGAAGTTGGTAAAGTAGTAAGTTGACACCGGACACCAGTACTTGCTATGCTAGTAGTTAGTTATTTAATCAGCCAATAAGAAAATGACATGTGGAATTGTATGGTGACCTAAGTACTGATTATATTAGTATGGTTAGCCTAATATAACCAACTACCCGACCAATCTCCATTACTATTCCCTTTGTTCGCTTTTACTTGTCCACTATATTTAGAATGTATTTTTATTTTTACTTTAAAGAAAGGAATGAAAGAATTTTGTGTATTTCATCATTGAACAATACATGTATATATATATATATATATATATATATATATATATATATATATATATATACAAGTATGTAAAGAGTAAAGAATGGAAGGAAAATCGTAAACCCCAAACAATCGTAGACTAGAGGACTTTTGAATACTCACAAATGGAAATAGCAGAATTTCAAGATTTGAAAGAAGAAAAGTTCTGCGCTAACGTATGATGATTTCGTACAGTTGTAATATTCTTATCCTTTTGCTTAGTATTTCTTCCTGAAGAATAGTTTAACTCTCCTTGAAGCTGGTACAACTTGTAAATCCTGTAGGCTCATAGTGATCTATAGGATTATGTTGATATTTGGGAATGCCCATTGCCCAATATCCCAATTTTTTTTGGAGAAGATAGGCATCACATTTCTCTCGGGTGTTCTTGTTAAGAGTTGTATATTATTTATGTTTCGGATACTAATTATATAAACCAGTGGTTGTTTTTATAAACAGAAAAACAATTAAATAGAAATGTAGTTAAAAGTACAAACTTATTCCAAGTCAACAAGTTGTTTATGTGTCCTTAAAGAAATGGTAACGTACATCAAAAATGATTTTTAGTGATAATTAATTAACGACAATAGCTTAATTATCGCTAAATATGTATTTTTAGCGGCAATTAACACTCTTTGTATGTCCCTAAATCCTTTAGCGACACTGAATCTAATGACACTTAACTAATTCCGCCGATAAAGAATTTATCACTCTTTATTAATGTGTCTATTTATTATCGCTAAAAATTGTTTTTGTTGTAGTGACCCCTTCACTTTTGTTGAGATTTGGGTTATATCTTTCCAGGATAAAACGAAAAAACATTTATAGAATAGCGGCAACATAAATTATAGGACTCCGATGAACTCAACAAATAAAGCAAATCACACAATATAACATTATTTTATTTGTAAACTGATATATAAATGATGGTAAGAAGAATAGTATTTGTTGTATATTAGTCCCTAAAATCTTAGGCAAAACCACTAAATTAAAGTTACAGAGAATGAAAAGGTGAGATAGAGATGCAATCTAAAAGGTGTTTTTTTGGTGGAATCTAAAGATACATTTTTCATTTTTCATTGACATCTTAAAATCTCCAACAAGTCTCACATGAGTAACTTTCTTTCTTATATGAACTTGGACAATCTCCAACTTATTAGTTAATTTTGGGGTTGAGTTAGTATTATGATCTATTTCTTTAAGTATCAGGGTCAGGCCTATTCAAATTTATTGTTTATGATGTTTAATCTCCATCTTATATTATCCACGCTCCAAATGTCCACATCATCTAAATGTGTGGGTGGTGGGGGTGGGGTAGGGGGTGGTGGTGATTGTGGTGGTGGACATCCACATCATTTGTCGTATGAGAACATGTATTCCTTATATTATCTTGGGAAATACTCCCTTCATGAGCTAGATTTGTGGTTGAGTTAAACTCAAATGTCATATATTTTACATGGTATCATAGCTAAGTCCATTTCGATTTGGGCTCCCATTTGTCCACGCTCCGATTGGGTCTGGACATGAAAGGGTTGTTAGAGTGGGTTAAAGTCTCACATTGATTAGACTGATAGTTTACTTATATTGACTATGACAACGCTTTCTTCATGAGTTTGCTTTTGAGATTGAGTTAGACCTTAATTTCTTTACATGATAGTAAAGTTAGACCCGTTTTAATTGTTCATTCACCGATGTTGGGGCCTCATATTGTATTGCTCATGCTCCACTTAACGAGACCTGAGTGTGCAAGGGAGTTTTAAGAGTCTCACATCGGATATAGAATGAGTAATTAGTCTTCTTATATGAATTTGAACAATGCTCACCCTATAAGCTAGTTTTTTAAGATTAAGTTAAGCCCAATATTCATTTCTTTACTGATTGATTTGACATGGTATCAGAGCTGAATTAATTTTATATAGGCCGAAGGTCCAGAGCAATTATAGCTAGGAGGTGGAAAATTCTTTAGTCCATGAATGTACACACCAAACCGAATAGTGAAAATCCAACTGTTCGAATTTGGGTGTGAGAGGGGGTGATGAATGGAATTAATCTCATATCAGTGAATGACAAGAACTTTAGGATCCTTATAAGATTTGAACAATACTTAACCTACGAAGTTGTTTGGACTCGAGTGTGGGTGTTTGATACGGGTGCGGATCTAGATGTTGGATCCTTCATGATTTAATTTTTAAGATTATGAGATATGGATCCATGTAGGGATACGAAAGCGGGGATTCGCTTAAAAATAATTAAAATATCTATAAATAGAGTTAGGAAACCTAAATTATGAGATATTATGGGAGAATCCTAGAAGGAGATTTGGAAAAGGAGTGACATAGAAATTTCTTTATAAAAGGTATTTCACTTTCTTCAATTTCACATTAGCTTTTGTATTGATTACAGATAATCATTAAAACTGTCCACACTTACCCCTATCGATTATGGTCAAAGTACCAAGAATCATAGAAAAAGGTACAAATACCCCCCTAGACTATTATCGAAATCCCAGAGACACACCTTAACTAAACTAAGGTCCTATTACCCCCTGAACCCATTTTTTTATAATTTTGTACACCTTTTCGGCTTATGCGGCATCCAAATATCTCCCACACGCTTGAACTGTGTGGAGTCACGGAATGTACCACATAAGCCAAAAGGTGTACAAAATTATATAAAAAATGAGTTCAGGGGGTAATAAGACCTTAGTTTAGTTAAGGTGTGTCTCTGAAATTTCGGTTATAGTCTAGGGGATACTTATGCCATATCCCATCAGTTGACCAAATTGGACACGGATCCCACACTCATGTTGTGTCAATACGGGTGCGGCATCAAAAGTAAAGAGTTCGAGCAAATTAGCTCACCTATGAGTTAATTTTTGAGGTTGAGTTAGACGCAAGATTCATTTCTTTACAGAGTAGTAGAATCAGGTCATCCTAATTCATTGTTTCTAATGTTGGGTTCCTGTCTTATATTGTGGAGTCCCTCACCATTTGTGGGATGAGAACATGAACTCCTTATATGATCTTGGACTATTCTCTTCTTATGAGCCCCTTTTTACAATTGAGTTACACTGAAATATCTTATCTTTACTATTCTTGGCAAATAATGATGATTCAACTGGAATTGCCTAGTGCAAGATATTAATCCATATTGGTGATCTGGGCTTTTGTCTAAATATACTGATATACAGTTCGTAGAAATCATTTGTTAACATCTGGAATAATGTCATGAAATTTATGGTTTAAATTCCTCATTGTTGCACCTCATCATCTGTTGTTGGTTTTGTTCCATTATTTATTTCATGATTTGCAGCAATTGAAGGAAGAAACAGCAAACATTGCAAAGAAGATAGAGATCCTTGAAATTTCCAAACGGTATTGTAGTCAGTCTTAGCAGTTAGGTTTTCCAGTTTGAATGTAGTCTCTTTTTAAACAATTTCTTGGCGTATTGAATTTCAATGCTTAGGAAGCTTTTGGGACAAGGCATTGGATCATGTTCAATGAATGAACTTCAAGAGATCGACAACCAGCTAGAGAGAAGCTTGAAGATCATCAGGGCGAGAAAGGTATTACTCTCATCCTCATATAGTTTGACTTGACATGCAATTTAAACAGTTTAAAAGAAAAAAAGAAATTTGAAATTTGTGTTTAAATGTGTTACTAAATATAGATATGTGTTATTCTTAATTGAGATTGACTTAAAAGAATGGTGAATCATATAAATTGAAACAGATGAAGTAATTAATATGCAATTCAGCTTAACATGTTTACATGATTTGACTTCATTGGTTAACCAATTCTTATGTTGGTCATTTTCTAGTCTCAGTTTTTTTAAAAAAAAAGAGAAATTTGTGTTTAAAAGTGTTACAAAATATAGATATGTGTTATTCTTTATTGAGATTGACTTAAAATAATAGTGAATCATATAAATTGAGACAGATAGAGTAATTAATATGCAATTCAGCTTAACATGTTTACATGATTTGACTTCATTGGTTAACCAATTCTTATGTTGGTCATTTTCTAGTCTCAATTATTCAAGGACGAAATACAACGGCTAAAAGAAAGGGTATGATGATACAACTTCAATGCAATTTTACTAGTACTTGCTAATTTAATTTCACTGAATTAGCAAACACCCTTTTGTTTTCCTCTTGTGCAGGAGAGACTATTGCGTGAAGAAAATGCAAGGTTATCTGAAAAGGTGAACTCTCCCATTAATCTTCCTTTTCGATTTGAATTAATAATAATACTATCTATTTTAATTTGTGTCTTACTTTTTTTCTATAGTTTGTTTCAAAAGGAATGTCTTTTTCATTTTTTTGACAACTTTTTAGTTTCAACTTTGACATGTTTAAGACTACAAGATTAAAGAACATTTTAGTACATCCTACGTATTTTTAGTTTAACACCGTAGATTCAAAAGTTTTCTTTACTTTCTTAAATTTCGTGTCAAATCATATTCTAACAAACAAATTGAAACAAACAGAGTAATAACATATCACCTTGTCAAGTGGAAGCTTATGTTTATAGGACGACTCATGTAGTTACCCGTTCAATATTTCCTTTTTCCCCTAACTAGTATCCACATATTGAAAATGTTGCTGTGACTTCTTCAAATGTCGATGCATGGGTCTGTTGGATCCTTGAAAAGTGCCTTTTTTAAAGGATTTGATCGATATAATAATATTTTTAAAGAGTTCGAGCAACATATCATTTCAACACGCAAAATCACTAGTTTGCAAGTTCAAGCGTTAAGAGTAAACTGTGCAACCATGACTGACAATTATGCTAAAGAAATTTAGATCCAATAAATAAAAAATTATTGTACACACTATCCGTGCATGTAAAGACTTTTTACGCTACAAGTAAATTTTAAACCAGTTATAGAAGATAAATTACTATTCCCTTTGTTTCAAAAAGAATGACCTCTTTTCCTTTTTAGTCTGTTTTAAAAAAATGGCCTCTTTCCTTTTATTGGTAACATTTTAATTTCAGCTTTCCACGTGACATTTTTGATGCCACAAGATTAAAGGGCAATTTAGTACATTTGACATAACTTTAATTTAGGACCATAAGATTTAAAAGTCTTTTATTTTCTTAAACTTCGTGTCAAGTCAAACTAGGCCACTCTTTTTAAAACGGAGAGAGTACAATTTATCCTTGGTGTTGTCAATATATTTACAAGAAAGCCTTCCATGTAGTGATGAAAATTGTGATACATAATCAATCTGTTATCATAATCTTGATAGTTAACATCGAGATTTACTTGTAATTTACTTTATCAACGACTTATTATGTGGGAATCTTAGTAACTCAGTACTAGAACTTTCACCTTGTTGGGGACAGGTTGATTCTCCACATTGAAGACGAGTTATTATGTAAATATTTCTTTCACCATCAAACATAAACTCTTCAGCTACATGTGTTTTTGTTGACAATTCTTATAAAATCATGATGTTGCTAGTGTGGAGGAGTAAGGCCAGCAGCATTAGAACTACCGGTTGACCTAACACGACCAGCCCAACTGACAGAAAAGGATAAGTGTAGCAGGATGGAGACTGATTTGAATATTGGCCTTCCAGACATTGGTTGGTCGTAGAAATATTTGTGGAGACTCTTCCAAGTTAGTTATACAATTGAGCATGCATTAATATAGAGTATAAGGGCATGCAAAGTCAACAAATAAGATATGAGTGCAGCATCTCATCAGCTTCTAGGTACGTGAATAAATGTATCTATATTATTTCTATGAACAAAGGTTGTAAAGAAGCCTAATTTATTGCATAATAGAGTAAATTATGTTTTCTTCAATTCATCAAGGATTGTTGGCCTTTTGTAAAGGAATGAAGAACTTATAAAGTAGAGGTAATGGAACTTTTTCAATACTGGGCAGATGTTTTTGCGCCTTGAATAGCACTGTGATAACATTGGTACCTTAAATTGATCATGCAGACACACCAATATAGCTTTGACTTGGTCTCAAAAGGATTAATACTCCATTTGTCTCATTTTATATAAATTAGTTTGACTTGTCAGGCAGTTTAAGAAAGAATTTTTTTTTTTTGAAATTTGTGTTCTAAAATAAGTGATAGATGTTTGTGTGACTATAAATTATTTCATTAAAGATAAAATAGTTGAATTGCTACTAAATATGAAAATGTGTCTTCTTTTTGGTACTGACTAAAAAAAAAATTGAGTATTATTTTCTTTCGGATGGGACAGTGAACAGCACTACTAAACTACCTCTTGTGGCATGGAAATTGGTGTGCAGATTAAAGTGAGAAGGAGGCTAGGGATCACAAACTATACATGTATAATGGAATGAACATGCAATTGTCAAATATGTTTGGAACATAGCTCAGAAGGCTGACAATATTTGGATGGATTAACCATATGAAGACTGGTAGGATTTTTTCAAGGGTATGTAGGGAACTGGTAGTGGCTGTAGTTGTAGCTCTGACTTACAGGATTTGAAAAGCAAGGAACACCATCTTTGTGGGAACTGAGTTAGACATCAAGACAAGCTCTCATAATTGTTCAAGTGAAATAGATCAACTGCAAAATGTGTAGGGTTATGGTAACTGCATAATTTATTTTTTTGCTTTGGAACTGGAAGGATTTTATTTATTAAATAGTAGATTCATCCATACAAAAAGAAACTGATCTAAACAATTTAGTTTCATTCGTATCTCTTTCGAGAGCTTTTGATGTAAAGGAAGGAGATGCTTCAAAAAACAAATGGTAACCGCATAATTATAAAAAGAATTGACTTGTTAAGATTATTATGGTCGTGCTACGACTGTTTGGTTATTTACTACTTTTTCTTTTTATCTTAACTGTTTGATTATTTGGCCAACTATTAATACAACTATTTGTGGCTCGTTAAATAGGCTTGAAAGAGTGAATTCTGAGTGTAATAAAACGAAGTGTAGGGCTTGTTTATGACCCTTATAGAGAAAGGGGAACCATACACTACTAAAATAGAAATATACCATTTAGCCTTACTTAGTTGATACATATAAAAATCTATCGGCACTTCCACAGAAATGTAGGCATTAGGAATAGTCGAGTAATTTTAGAGTTATCAGAAAAACGCTCAATAAGTGATATCAACCTGTAACTAATAACCCAATAAAAAAAATCAAAGTGAGTTCAAGTGATTACTCAAATCGATTGCTAGTAAATCCATGACCCTAGATCGATCTCATCGCATCGATAATGTAAAAATATATCTCTTCGTCGTGTTAATTGTTCATTAGTAAGCCTCGTTTTATTTTAGTATTAGTTAATCATAATAAATTATAACCTTGAGATTTTAGTACTTGAATAAATAATTAACACTAGTGTAAGTTAGTAAATAGTTAATTTACTTGTCTATTTGGATACAACATCTGAACTTCAAAATTTGAATTACTTATAAGATCGTGTGTGCGTTTGGACACAACAATCAACTGAACTGGAAGAGAAACTCGGTAAAGGTGAAATGGATGAGATGGAAACCTTGTTTTCTAAAAAGGGATATGAAGATCCGACAACAAAGTGAAGAAGAAATTTGTTTTAAGGATAATTTCAAATAAATACAATAAAGTAGGAAAGAATTACTTGGATGGGTATCTTTTAATAAATAATTACTGATTCTAGCGATACGTTTTTATTTATTAACATTTATAGCAGTACATATCAATACTATGATAAATCTGCAATATGTATTAAAAGTAAGGGTGTACGTCGGTCAGTTTGGTTTGGTTTTATTAATAACCGATTCGGTTTATCAGTTTTCATTTTTAAATATGCTAACCCAATAACAAATCAATAAGATATTTTTTTTTATCGATTTTTGGTTTATCGGTTTTTGGTTGTTATCGGTTTTCGGTTTACCCAATAAGAAAATGTTCGTAAAATATTATATGACTTCTCACTTCTCTAAATGCTTTGATATAGTGAAACAAGAAGATAATGAGAAATTGCATCAATAAGAAAAAAATATAGTACGAAGGCTATAATTACATGTCACTACCAAAACATAGTATGAAATTTCTGATGTTAATCAAATTACGGCACAAACTTGCAAAAGTCATAACCTATAATTCAAACTAAAACTAAAATCAAATAGTCCAACAAGACTAAAACTAAAACTAAAATCAAATAGCTACAATTGTGAACCCTTACTTCAGTCTTTAGATTTTGAGTAAACAATAAAGACTAGTAAAGTAGCATAGTGTGAAGTGGGTAGAGTACTAATAATTTGATATAGTTGTAGTGTCTAGTTATATATTAAATTATTAATATTTAATTTAGAAAGCGCAAAGTAATAAATTATTACCGTCTTATTGAGTTATCGGTTTATCCAATAACCCAACAATAAAAATTGAGACTAAACCAATAACCTAATAACTTTTTTTTTATAAACCCATTAAAAACCCAATAACCCAATAACATTTTTTTCGGTTTGGTTTTTGCACACCCCTAATTAAAAGTGAATTATGTATGCAATATATATGTGTTATAACTGTTTTAAATATATTATGTTCGTTTATAAAAAAAATGATACATTGTATTAAAATGTGTGATAAATGTATTATTCATCAATAAAACTTGTATTATATGTGTTTTATAAATTGTTCTTTGTAATACGTATTAAAACTGTATTATAAATGAATTAAAAGTGATCAAGTGAAAAAAATGTTATTGCTATAAATGATAAATGTTTCTTAATATAGTATATTTATGTAAGTTTTCAATGAAGTAATTAATTTATAGCAAATATAGCCATACTTTATTTATATAAAAATAGCCAAAAATTATAGAAAGTACACACTTATTAAACAATATAACTTGCCAAAAGTCATAGAACTTGCCAAAAGTCATAAAAGTATACACTAACTATATAATGTAGCTTACTATACATGAGATATACACTGACGATACATTATGATACACTCAAAAAGCTGAATATAACTTAACTATGCATGAAATATACAGTGAGTATATATGAAATATACACCAACTATTCAATTTCGATCAACTCAAAATCACTTCTGAACAGCCCAATAATTTAGATATAAAATCCTC